TGTTTCTTCTCAGTTCCTATTCACGACTCCGCTATTGCTTCTTTTCAGCCAACATTGGTGGTGGATAAACATTTATAAAATTAAATTTGATCATGCGAGTGGCCTGGTTAAAGTCTTTAGACAGTAGGTCTCAAGCTTTGCAGCATAAAGTCATCTGGGGTAAGCACTAGACAGATTTGGACCCATTCCCAGAGGTGCAGATCCAGGTCAGTGTCAGGCCCAGGACCCGGGCTTGGGGAAGCCCCTCTGGCGGCTCAGAGAAGCTCTGCTTCAGTGCCTGGGCCTGCAGGGTGCGGGTCTGGTGCTCCGCGTGGACCTTCACGCTCTCCGGGGCCATCGCTGCCTCCTTCATCATGGTCACCTGTGGTTTCTTCAGCATCCATCCCGTGGTGTTTCCTGCCCTCATCCTTTTGCACATCCCGCTATCTTCTGCCAGGAGCACCTCTCATAGCTCAAGGTTCCTTCCACGGGGATCTCCCCGGTCACCCCGAGTGGAGTTGGCACTTCCCCCGCGTGTCCCTTGTCTTATCTCGCAGTCCTCCTTTCCTGAGAGCATGTCCGTACCTCATTGTAACAGCCTTTTCCCCTTGTTAATCCTCACCCGAGGATATTTTTTCCATTGACTTTTTTAGAGAGAGTGGAAGGGAAGGGGGGAGAGGGGAAGAGAGAGAGAAACACTGATGTGAGAGAGACACGTTGATTGGTTGCCTCTCACACGAGCCCCAACCAGGACCAGAATCGAACCTGCAACCCAGATACATGCCCTTGACCGGGAATTGAACCTGGGACCCTCCAGTGCATGGGCTGACACTCTAACCACTGAGCCACGCCGGCCAGGGCTATAATAACTTCTTTACATGCCACTATTTAACTGTTAGTTCTGCGTTCCATGACTAGAAATACCTTCTTACTTGTCTTTGTATCTCCGGTGTCTTGTACAAACATAGGTGAATGTGTTGTGAGTGAATTCAATACAGGAATGAAATTAAAAAATCTTGGCTATTTTTATTTTTTTAATCCTCACCGGAGGACATTTTTCCATTTTTTGTTCAGGTAGAGTGGGAGGGAGAGAGAGGAACAGAAGGAGAGAGAGAAACATCAATGTGAAAGGAACACATCGAGTGGCTGCCACCCGCACGACCGACCAGGGCCGGGGACAAACTGCAACCGAGGTACGCGCCCTTAGCGGGAACCGAACCCGGGTCTCTCAGGACCGCAGGCCAACACTCTAACCGCTGAGCCAAACCGGCCAGGGCATTGGCTATTTTTTTTTTACTTCGTGTTTTATGTATTATAAATGTATCTATTACTTATGTACCTAAGGTTCTTTAGCTATTGCATGGAAATAGTATTTATTTTCTACCTTCCCTTAAACATCATTCATTCAAACTAGGGCAGAGATTTATACAAAGGAGGCAGATCTGCTGACAAGTCTGGACGTAATTTTTGGAAGAGCAGTCCCTTGAGATACTTCCTAAGGGTGGGTAGGAGGACTTGAGTGGCAGTAGGGAGACTCAGCAAGCGGCGTGACGCTGGCCTCAGCGATGCGGAAGTACACGTGCCTGGGGCTGCTGGTTCTGAGACGTGCTGGGATTTGATCGCAATAGAAGATGTAGGGTTTGTGGTCAGGGATGAATTTGGAGGAGTAGTAAGCAGTATATTTTGGATGATGTTTTGTGCTTTGCAAATATTTTATCCTTGGGTTACAAAATGCAACTGAAACCTCTCAAACTGGAAAGAAACACAGATGGGAAGAGAATTGAGTACGAAAATACACCAGTTAAGAGGATTGTGTTGTAATTTTATGATGGAGGAATTGATTAGCAATTAAAGATAATTTTATAAAGTTTTTTATAATGTTCTTTGTTCATTCTGCCAAGTACTCTGATAGGCTTAGGGATACACAAGATGAGTAAGACATAGTAAACCATACAGTACACAGAAATGTCAATAACAGAAATTAATCAATTATGTTAATATAGCCAAGACACGAATTCATGATGTATAGTGGATATACAATGTTATGGGGGCAGGTTTCATTGTGGACCAACTTTCACTGGAAGAACTGAGGTCTTGATGGAAGAGAAGGACTGGAGCAGAGCAGAGTATTTTGGGCAAAGGAGTAAGTAAAAGAGTTAATGGGTGAAGAACTGTGGTTGTGGTACCAGAGCCTGTTTGGAAACGCTGAACGGTATTCGGATCGAACTGCAACGGGCCTTGAACGTTGTGCTGAAGGGTTTTGCATTTTATTCTAGAGCTTTACTTTCTAATTATGAAAATAATATATATTGATTATGTATAATAAATATGAAGAAAATGAAAATCTTTTAAAATTTTATTACAAAATGTAATTAATATTAACGTTTTTTATCTGTTTCTTTCCAGTGTTTCTCACCATGTTCATATATGTACTTGAGCATTAAATAAGGGAAATCAGAAGCACACTGTGTGTGCATTTACACACACATGTAATTTTCATCTTGTTAAAATTGGAACGTTGCCATTTTGCCGTATGGTTAAATGTGCCCAGAAAGCATGACTTGTAGTGATTGCAATACTTCTACTATATGGGTATGCTTGAATTATGTGCCTTTTTTCTTTTCTTTTTTAATCCTCAATGGAGGATGTTTTTCAGATAGAGTAGAAAAGAGGGAGGGGGAGAGAGAGAGAGAAAAACATCGATGTGAGAGAGACACATCGACTGGTTGCCTCCCGTATGACCCCAGTCAGGGCCTGGGACAAACTGCAACTGAGGTAGGTGCCCTTGACCGGAATTGAACCTGCAACTCATTGGTCCATGGGCTGACACTGAGCCAAACCAGCCAGGCTGTACCTTTTTTCTTATTGTTAGATTACATAAGTTGTTTTCGGTTTAAAATAGTGATCACTGTTTCACTGAACATCTTTGGACATAAATTCTTGTCTGCATTTCTGACTATTTAGGATAGGTTTTAAGAAGGAAGGTGCTGGGTCGAGCAGTCTTAGGGCTCAGGGCATACTTGCCAAGTTACTCTGCTGAAGACCAAAGGCGCTCCTGCAGTGTGTGGCGTTGGCTTTCACGGTACTCCTGGCTCAGTATTTTTTTAGTGTATGCTGTTTGCTGGTTTTGTAAATGGTATCTTGTGGCTATTTTACTGTTATTCCTTGACAACTAGTTTGAGCAGGTTTCCCCCCTACATGTGTAGACAATTGATGTGTCTTTTATTGTGAATTGTCCTTGACCTTTATGGTACTTTTTTCCTTTTATTTTTCTTATTGATTTTAATTAATATTATATAGACTATAACTTCATCAGCCCTATTTCTGGCACATTTTATTCCAATTTCTTACTTGCCTTTCAGTGTTTTTATAGTAGTGAATTTTAAATTTAACAATGTTTGGAAAGTTTGCTCTCACCTTGAGAACAGATATAGTCACCTATATTTTGATTTAGTTTTTAATAAAGTTGTACTTTCTATTTCTCTTTCTAACCTACGTAAAGGCAATTCTCGGCGGAAGGGTGGCATGATTAGATTTGTGTTTCAGAAGAAGTCTCAGGCTCTGTGGATGTCGGGCTGGAGGAAGGGCAGACTGGGGCAGTGGAGCCTGTTCGGGGGGAGAAGATAAGGGTCCGAGTGTGGTCACAGTGACGGGACAGGGTGGAGGAGGAATGATTCTCAGCTGATGATGTGAGAGGTGCACAGGTGCAGTGGGAAGGTGGAGACAAGGACATGAAATAGGAGGCACTGTGGGCATCCAAGTACCAGTGCTGGAAATACAGGCCTGAACCTTCTTCGGGAGACTGGTCTGGCTGCTGGTGGCACTTAGGGAGCCGCCTACATATAGGTGGGCGTGCTGATGTGGGGGGAGCGTGAGTTTTCAGGGCAGCGGACTGAGGGTGGTCAGAATTGGAAGGCTCACTGCAAGGTGTTCTCTGGGAAGCTGGAGGAGCTGGCTTCTATGCGCTTCATTTATACTTTCTCTTTCACCAAAAACAATGTCAGATACCACAAAGAGTTTGAGGAGAGGGACTGAAAAGTTTTCAGTGGATTAAAAAAAATTTTTCACCACCATTTGTTCCCTCTAAACCCTCTTCCACCCCCCCCCCATCACCCCTGCTGTCCATGTCCTTGAGCTCTCTCTCTTTCTTGCTCAGTCCCTCCCCCCTAATAAATTTGGCTAAAAGGGGCAGTAGACAGAGGAGAGAAATACATAGAAGAGGGGCTTGGTCCAAGGGTAACACTGTTTTACAGAATCTAAGTGGACTTGAACATGTTCTCTGTTGAGGGAAAGGAATCTGTGAGCAGAGAGATGGAAGGTGAAGTGGAAGAAAGGAATTTGATGGTGCAGCAACTCCAAAGCAGGAGAGGCCGTGAAAAAGGCATCATTCGCTCCGACGGGGCAGTAGTTCATTCCCGAGGCGGGACTTAGAGTCGAGTTATGGAAACACATTTCAGTCTGTTCTGCGAGTAAAAGGACTCCCGCCTTCAGTAATAAGCTTTTATTTCCTTCTTTCTTAAAAATGAATCGACGATTTTATAATTATTTCAGCATAAAGTTCTGATTGTATACGTCTATATCCTTTACTTGCTGCTGCTTGGCGAAGTTAGTGAGTTACTTTAAAGATGCAGGTACTTAAAAAGACAGTTTATTAAATGTTCACATTCCTTTGACTCTTGTTCATTAATGAATGAACTCATTAACTCTTCTACTTACTCCTTTGCCCAAAATACTCTGCTCTGCTCCAGTCCTTCTCTTCCATCAAGACCCCAGTTCTCCCAGTGGAAGTTGGTCCACAATGAAACTTGCCCCCATAACATTGTATATCCACTGTACATCATGAATTCGTGTCTTGGCTATATTAACATAATTAGTTAATTTATGTTATTGACATTTCTGTGTACTGTATGGTTTACTATGTCTTACTCATCTTGTGTAACCCTAAGCCTATCAGAGTACTTGGCAGAATGAACAAAGAACATTATAAAATTATAACCATCTTTTAAAAATATTTATTGCAGGGAAATTTACCTAAATATTCACATAACTCCCTGATGGTTCAAGCAATAAAGACAAACCTGACAGACCCAGACGTACACGTGCTCTTCTTCGACGTGGAGGCGCTGATCATCCAGCTCCTGACCGAAGAAGCCTCGAGGCCGAACACTGCGCTCATCTCCCCGGAGAGCTTGCAGAAGGGGCCCGGCAAGTCAGACAAAGGCGGCTCTTTTCTGACGGGGAAGCGGGCCGCGGTTCTCTTCCAGCAGGTGAAAGACACCATCAAAGAGAACATAAAGGAGCATCTCCTTGACGATGAAGAGGAGGACGAGGAGACAATGAGGCAGAGGAGGGAAGAAAGCGATCCTGAATATCGGGCCAGCAAATCTAAGCCCCTGACCCTATTAGAATATAATTTAACTATGGACACTGCAAAGTTGTTCATGTCCTGCCTTCATGCCTGGGGTTTGAACGAAGTTCTGGATGAAGTCTGTCTTGATCGCCTTGGAATGCTGAAACCCCACTGCCCAGTATCGTTTGGTCTCTTATCACGAGGAGGTCACATGTCCCTAATGCTTCCAGGTTACAATCGGACGGCTGGTAAACTGACGCACGGGAAAGCGGAAGAAGAAAGGAAGCTTCCAGCCACTGAGGGAGTAGGAAAGGGCACTTACGGAGTGTCTCGAGCCGTCACCACCCAGCATCTCCTGTCCGTCATTTCTTTGGCAAATACCTTAATGAGTATGACCAATGCAACTTTTATTGGTGACCACATGAAGAAGGGCCCTACCAGGTGTGACCATGATGGCTTGATTTCTTTCATTCTTACATTTCAAAAGAAAAGAAACCTGTTATTAATTTTTTTAATTTTTGTCACTGTTTATTACCTTTTTTTGTTGTTGGTTCTATCCACTTTAGCATTTTTGTGTCATCTCAGTGTTCCCCTTTAAATTTTAAAACATAATGTAAAACATGATAAGAGTATACAGGTTTATCTATACTCAGACATACTAACTAGCTATTTTTCAAAAATTTGAAATGATGGAGTAGGTTATAATTTAGCTTTAATAAATGACTTATAGACTAGCATTTCAGCAAATATAATCTTAGAATTGTGTCTACTTAAAATTTGCACCAACATTTAATTCAAAATGTATATTTGATTAAATGCTGCTCTTCATTGTGACCCATAAGTAATGAGTAATATGTGTTGAGTGATTGTTTTTAGAATATTGTGAAAAGTATAGTCAGAAATTTTCAATCGGAAAAGAACACTTTTTTAGGTGCAGGAGAGTACTATTTTAATATTTCCAGAAGACGTAAACTGAATCACTATTTTCTGTTCTCCAAAAGTCAGGAAGGCAACTTTTTTTTTTTTTGAAGGCTACTTTTTAAACTGTGGTTTTATTATACTTTAGTGCAAGTTGACCATATTAACATTTTTTTAAATCTAACAATACTTGAGTAGCACTTACCTGGTGTCTGGCTCTGTTGTAAGCACTTTACAGATACTGTCTCCATAAGGCTCTTAACTCCATAAGGTAGGTACTTTTATTATATTTTATTACAGATAAGAAAACAGACACAGAGGGGTTAAGGAACTTATCCAAGGTCACACAAGTAGTAGGAGAGAGCCAGAATTCAAAATGAGACAGTTGACCTCTAGTGTCCAAGATTTCTTAATGCCTTATTACTTTTTTCAGATTTTAGGGCTGGATTCTTTTAAACTCAATGTATTGTTCCATGAATTCTCCATTTTAGACCAATGATATGGGATGGGTCGTAACCTCAGCATGCTAATATTGAACAATGAAGTACTAATTATGATATTTATCTGTCACTGATGGTATGTTAAATTGTTCATAAATATTTCTTAAATAAGAATAAAGCATAAATTGTAGATGTTAAATTCTTACTGCTATTTGCTAAATACTTAATATACTATATTAAAATTTGAAATAAAAAATATTAATAAGTACAAAACAAACATAAAATCCCCATCTTCTTGGAACAGTAAATTGAAAGTGTCTGTATGTGTTTGTTTTATAATTCATTTGGAATTAGAAAGTATAATATTTTAAATGGTTCTGGAAATATGAAAACATGAATACATATATACATGTATTTTCTTCTTTTTAAAGGCCACCTAGACCAAGCACCCCAGACCTTTCTAAGGCACGGGGTTCCCCACCAACGTCCAGAAATATTGTGCAAGGACAAATTAAACAAGGTAAAATTAAATCTCGTTAAGTAATTGACATGACATTTCAGCTCTAGAAACTGAGGAGGCGCAGCTAATGTATAATCATAACATTTGGTTTGTCTCAGATTGTTAAAAGGGAGAAAAGTTGTTATATTCCAGATGTAAATATAGATAATTAAGATGTCAGTTAAAAATAAATCAGATTTATTTAGAAATTGATAAATGAGCATATTTCACATAATTTTATTGTACTGCCTTTGGCCTAATTTTTATGCATTAGGGCACCTTAACTTGACACACTCATGCCTTAATTGTGTGTGCCTTGAGTTTAAAAGTTATACCTATTGTTTAACTACATTTTGAAATGTTTAAATTCATATTTCCATACTCCAGCTATTTTTCTGCTATTTGCCTTTAGTTCGTACATTGTAATCCACAAATGAAAATCCTTTCTTTTCATTTAAATCATTAGATCTTAACTTTTGTCTGTAGCTTTGTTTTTCATTAGGGGATAGAAGAAGAAAGGTTGAGTTTCTCTTCATTATCTTTTATACTCATTTTAAGGCAGACAGATGAGCTCACCAGGGAGTTGGGGGTGGGGAAGGGTCACTTCCACCCAGAGAGCTTTCCTAGTGGCCTGGAGTATGACTCACAACAAGTGGTAGGAGAGAAGTAAGCAAGAGACTGGAGGATGAAGGTTCTGCTGGTCAATGTTGACATTTTAGTGTGTTCAGGGTGTTTTTTTTTTTTTAATATTTAAAGTTATATAGTTTTAAACCTCTTTAGGCTGTAAGAGCCAATGAGTAGTTCTACAAGATTTGCTAGGTAAACAATAGGCCTCCAACTTCCTAGCTATAGTTTTCCCCTTTCCTAGGAAGGTACTTTTCTCTCAGCTGATGATTTGGTATGCATTTTAATATCCTTAAGTGGAGGCTTGGTTTTCAGTTTGGGGCACTGTCTGTTGGCTTCTCATGGAAGGTGAGCTCTGGCAGTCTCTACACCACCCCCACCTCATTCCCACTCCACGCGGTTGGCTTCCTCCCGTGTTTATCTGCCCTCGCATTACGCTTATGTAGTTACGTTATAGTTTATGTGAAGTTATATAAAAGTTAATAGTTTGGTTATATAACTTTTTATACTTGTATGCTATCTATGATATACATACAGAAAAGTGCACAAAACAGGTCTGTAGCCCAGTGATTTTTACAAGCTAAACATCTTTGTAAGGCGTCCTTGGTCAAGAAACCACGTTGCCAGTGCCTCCTGCAGGTTCCCTCCCACCCACCTTCCCTCCAAAGGCACTGTCTTGACTTCCAGGAAATGCTTTCCATCTTTCCTTTGTAGTTTGCACCCCCTAAGTTTAAGTCCCTGTACACTAGTTTTGCGCACATTTTGAATTTTATTTGAATTCAGTCAGTCATGAAGGATGTATTCTTTTGTGTTTGGCTTCTTTTGTGAGATTTATCAATATTGTTGCATTGGACTGTGGCTTGTTCATTTTCATTGTTCATTTTTATTGCTGTATAGTGTTCTCTTGAATGAATAGACTACAGTTTATTCATCCATTCATCCTGTCAATAGACATTTGCATTATTTCCAGTGTTTGGTTTTCATAAATAATTCTGCTATGAACATTCTTGTATTTGAATCTTAGTGTACATTATAAGCATTTCTGTTGTGTATGTAACTCAAAGTGGAATTTCTGCATATATTTATCTTCAGCTTTAGCAGATAATGTTAACATGTTTTTCTAAGTGAGAGATGAATATACATCCATCAAAATGGCTAAAGTGAAAAAGACAGAAAATGTGTGTTGCTTTTATGATTTGTTGGTTGGTTTGGAGCAGCGCTCTGTGTCTAAAGCTAAGTACTTCCCATTGCTAAGACAAGCCTCCTTGAGTACTTTATCCAGTACTCCATGGATCATGAATTTCCCAGTCAGGCTGGTAGGAGAGGTACTATTTCTGGCCCTTTGGTAGGTTCTCTCCCAGCCTCTAGTCGTTTCCTAACACACAAGTACTGATCAGTACTGTGCTGAATATCTGAGCGGGGCCGCTGAAGAACCGGGATCTTCATAGCTCTCTCCTCTCTTTGCTGTGAATTCTAGCTGCCCTAGTTTCCTGAGACTCTCAGCTCTGTCTTCCCAACTCAGGGAAATTGCTGGGCTCTTCCTCAGTTCCCCTCCCCTCCCCTCCCCTCCCCTCCCCTCCCCTCCCCTCCCCTCCCCTCCCCTCCCCTCCCCTCCCCTCCCCTCCCCTCCCTCCCTCCCTCCCTCCCTCCCTCCCTCCCTCCCTCCCTCCCTCCCTTCCTTCCTTCCTTCCTTCCTTCCTTCCTTCCTTCCTTCCTTCCTTCCTTCTTCCGTCTTGTCCTAGAAACTCCCAAGGCAGTAAGCTGAGACAGTCACAAGGCTCACTTTGTCTTCCTGACTCTCAGTTCATCATGATGTCCTGTGGCTTAGAACCATTGTTCTCGTTCTCTCTCTCTCTCTCTCTCTCTCTCTTATTTTTTTTTGTTTTAGACGGGATTGTAAATCTGTGTTCCTCTATCCTGGCCAGAAGTAGTTGTTCTTCTCTTTTCACATTTCAGTGTTCTGAATATACTCTTACCTTATAAAGTAAAAATTATTATTTTTTTTTTATCCTCACCCGAGGACATTTTTCCATTTTTTGTTCAGGTAGAGTGGGAGGGAGAGAGAGGAACAGAGAGAGAGAGAAACATCGATGTGAAAGGAACACATCGAGTGGCTGCCACCCGCACAACCGACCAGGGCCGGGGACAAACTGCAACCGAGGTACGCGCCCTTAGTGGGAACCGAACCCGGGTCTCTCTGGACCACAGGCCGATGCTCTAACCGCTGAGCCAAACCAGCCAGGACTTCATTATCATTCTTTACAGTTGATGTTTCTTCTTGGATTATACTTTCTCCCTCTGTAATTATAGCAGATGCAAGTATAATTTGTATAGTTTGTGACTTTGTCATGATGCACTATGTACTTGACCACATGTGGTATTGACCTTGTTTACCTGGTCAGGGCTGAGGATTTTACAGTTGAAATGCATATTGTTGCTCCTTTCAGAGAGCTTGGAGTTTTGAAGCAGTGCAGGAGGCACTGAGATTGGAGTCTTTCCAAAGCATTAACTTACAACAATGGATGTAGGAATTTCCATTAGGAACAGCACAGATGCCTGTCTTTGAAGTAAGCGAAGACCAACGCTCTGTACTGAGTTACATAGTAAAATGCTCTTGGGTGGCATCATGAAACCCACTTCCAGTTGAATATTGAAATGAAAATTCGGCATAATTCTCTCTTACAAATTTCTGTGAAGCACTTTTTTCTCCAAACAACTCTTTTGGGGATGTAAGAAAATTAGTCTGATTTATATTCTCTTGAGTAGTTTATATGCACATGAACATGAATAACCAATTTAGGGCAAGATGTGGTAGGAGATACGGACAAAAGCTCTGAGTTCTCTGACTCTGTTCAGCACTTCGAGGATTGTGTATTCTCATCTGCTATTCTGACCTCTCCCACCTTGGTTTTCTTGGGAACATTGTCCTCTTTCCTGATGGTTTTCCCCTGAATCCCACTGCCACGCACATTGACTCGCAATCCATTTTTCAAGTTGCACTGCAAACATGAATATGCTGCTTTTCGATAAACTCACTGATATGTTGGCTAGTACTTCGTTCAGCTACAATACAATCTATACTGAGTAAAGACTTTAGCTGGGGATTGGAACTTACAGAGACACTTGGATCAGAGAATAAAGAAGATGGTCTAGCTAGCATACTTTCTCATAATCAATATTAGGATATTTTATTGGAAAATAATTTCTTCACAACAAGTTTATTTTGTCTAATAGTTGGTTTATTAATTCATTGCTTGCCAATAATAACATTTACTGACAGTCATGTATTTTTTTGGTAGAGATAGTTTTTATTTATTAGATACTTGATTTTGTCATTTAAAAAAAACATCTCACTTGAGAAAGGGATCAGACATGTCAAACAACTAAATTTTTGTGTTTGGTCAAATAACCCTATCTCAGCCCAAAGCTTTAGGCTTTTTTACTTTCTGACATATGTACTTCTCTTGATCAGTTCAGTAATCTCGTGGTGTAAGTCTTTGGTCTGTGTCTCTATTACTTGTCTCGACTATCACCATATCTTTGTTAGTATCTGCATCTTTACTCAGTGGTAGGTGTGGAAGCAAATCTAAGCAATTTAAAGATTTAAGGTTATGCTGCATTATTTGCAATTTTAATTTTTATTTATTTATTTATTTTTTATCCTCACCCGAGGACATTTTTCTATTTTTTGTTCAGACAGAGCAGGAGGGAGAGAGAGAGAGAGAGAAACATCGACGTGAAAGGGACACATCGAGTGGCTGCCACCCGCACGACCAACCAGGGCCGGGGACAAACTGCAACCGAGGTACGTGCCCTTAGCGGGAACCGAACCAGGGTCTCTCTGGACTGCAGGCTGATGCTCTAACCGCTGAGCCAAACTGGCCAGGGCGGCAATTTTAATTTTTAGAAGTGGAATCAATTTAGGTTGTCTAAACTTAGAAGTAAGTAATAGTCATTGTTAAATTATCGTAGGAATCACTAAGATAATTAACCAAAAGCTTCTCACCTTTCTTTTGTAAGGTGTAGGCCCAGGGGTGGGGAACTTTTTTTCTGCCAAGGGTCATTTGCATATTTATAACATCATTCGTGGACCATACAAAATTACCAACTTAAAAATTAGCCTGCTGTATTTGGTCAGGCTAATCAGGAGAGGCGTGTGATGTCAGCTGGTATTGATTTCGCGGGCCTCATACGGCCCACGGGCCGGACATTTCCACCCGAGAGCAAAACCTTAGAGTACCTACGTCAGGTCCATGCATGGACCTGAGAACCCCTCAAAATTTTCTTCAAATTTATGTACTTTTTTTTTTTTCTTTTTTAAAATGGCTTATAACTTTGGTCTTCTTTGGAAGCTCAAAGGACAAGGACATTTGTTCATTTTCTTCACTTATAACAAA